CCCAGTGGTAGCTCTCTCTGTCTCTGGTTTTCTTCGTTGCTTCGTCCTTCCTCATAGCGTTTGTCATTTCCTCCATCTCGGCTGACTCTCTCTCTCTCTCTTCCTGGCTCTGCTCCCTGAACCCTCTCACCCACAGAGCAGCATGCCTGAAAAGGTTGATGCTAATAATACTGAGGTCTCTGTCGGAAGCCCTCCAGCACTGCTGCTCTTGTAAATACTATAGTATTACTGCAGCTCCTCTTGTAAATACTATACCCCCCTCTCTCTCAAAAGCAGTAGGCAAACATCTTGTTTGAACCTTATAAACGGTTTGCTGCGGCTCACACATGTTGGTTTTGAATCCCCTCACTTTCAAATCTGACCTTAGATGCCTCTCTGTCTAACTACAGAAATATCTGGGTCAAATAAATGAAATATATACGTTGGCTTTGGTTTAATATCTACCGTGCCAGGCTCTCCTGCTTGAAATGTTGAAATCTTCTGTGTAGTATTACAATCTATTTGATCCGTTGTATTTGTCTTATGTCATATATATATTCATGTTGCACTGTTGGAGGATCCTGTGACCTAACGGCCCGTCCACACTATAGCTTCGACAGCTTCAAAAACGGTTTCCAACGCGTCTGCCCATTCACTTTGAATGGGGTGACGTCACTTTTCGCCGAACTGCATTGTGGGAAGCAGAGCGGAGCTTTCCTGGCGTTTCAGGCTGCAAAAGTTGAGCAATGTTCAACTTTTGAAGCTTCTGAAGCTTTCGGTGGAAGCGTCAGCCAATCAAATAATATGCCAGTACAAGCTCTAGCCAATCAAACCGCTACTTGTGTGTTAGGGGCGGGAGATTCATGTGATTGGTTGTTGGTCGAGCTTCAGACACGCCCGCCGGCAAGCTTTTTTTGAAGCTGTAGTGTGGACGGGCCGTAAGTGTTTCATTACCATATCTACACTGTAGCTACTGTGCACATCTTGAATCTTATATGAGGTGTGACTGCGATCAAACATTACAACATTGGGGGTAAAAGGACAGCGTATTCCCTCGAGATGTAGGGTGTCATCCCACACAGGAAATAATAATCACAGATGTTTTGAAGCCTCATGCCGTTTTTTTCCTTTTAAAGTTCAATCAGACAACTCACGTGTTTCTTTGATAGAAGCAGCATGTAGTTTGAGTTTGGCATCTAGGCTCTAGGCCTTGAACTAACTCGCAGGATTCGCCCCATTTGTTTATGTGGCTTTACTGACTTTAAGAGTGTGAAATACTGCCAATACTGAGGTTTGGATTTCTGTTTGGTTTTTGTTTTTTTTAGCAGGATTACAGATAATAGTCTGATTTTGATTAAAATGAGGTTGCAGGGTGTATCATAGTCCAAGGATAACCTATTAAAGTATTGAACGAATCCCAATTAGGGCGTAGATGCACGTTTGCCCAAATAAATAAAATGACACGGAGCAAATGTCCATAAAACATTTTGATCTTGGGTTGGGCTTTTCTTTTCAAAGTTAGTTTAATTAGTTATTTGTTATAGATCGTGCAGTTTAAAGCGGTTATGATCCTTCACACTGTGACACAATGATCGCTTTCCTTCAGTATGGAACATCAGTATCCCCCTACTCAACCTGCGCTGGTCAAACTGCTGCAGCCTTCCCCTAATGGAGGCGATGGATCTGTGGGATCAATGCGGCCTGATGGGAGCTCAGTGTCCGACAGCTGATGAGGTCTCAAAGGATTTCTCTCTGACCCGTGACCCTGAGCCCCACCACCAGGAAATATTGACAGAACTTTCCATAGCTCCAAACAGGAAGGGAAACATGCTGAATGACGGGAAAGGATTACTTACTTTACAGTATATCAGAAAAGACTGGTTACATAAAAACAGTTTGTTTTGGTGTCAATGAAAAGAAAAGAAGACAAAAAGTCATTGCTGGACTACTTTTATTTTCAAATATATACAACAAGCCATTGCTGGACCGCTCTTATTTTGAAATATAGAAACAAAGTCATTGCTGGACCGCTCTTATTTTGAAATATAGAAACAAAGTAATTGCTGGACCGCTCTTATTTTGAAATATATAAAACAAGCCATTGCTGGACTGCTCTTATTTTGAATTATAGAAACAAAGCCATTGCTGGACCGCTCTTATTTTGAAATATAGAAACAAAGCCATTGCTGGACCGCTCTTATTTTGAAATATAGAAACAAAGTCATTGCTGGACCGCTCTTATTTTGAAATATAGAAACAAAGCCATTGCTGGACCGCTCTTATTTTGAAATATAGAAACAAAGTCATTGCTGGACCGCTCTTATTTTGTAATATATAAAACAAAACATTGCTGGACCGCTCTTATTTTGAAATATAAACAACAATTCATTCCTAGAGTACTCTTATTTTGAAATATAACCAAAAATGTACCTCTGGAGTCTGGACCACTCTTATTTTGAAATACATAAAAACAAAGACACTGATTTGTTAGAGACACACACACACACACACACACACACACACACACACACACACACACACACACACACACACACACACACACACACACACACCCCCCTTCCCCTCTGTTCAGTGTTTATATCAGTATGGAGAGCTGCTTCAGTTTTTTTTAGGATTCACCATCAATCTTTAGTGTTCTTTGTGTGTGTGTGTGTGTGTGTGTGTGTGTGTGTGTGTGTGTGTGTGTGTGTGTGTGTGTGTGTGTGTGTGTGTGTGTGTGTGTGTGTGTGTGTGTGTGTGTGTGTGTGTGTATTGTTTGACTCTCCATGTCCTTCTTTGGCGAAGTGACTCTCACACCTTCCCTCCATTCGTTCCTCTTTGTCTCTGCTGTCTCTCACACTTTGGGCTCTTCGTCTTCTCCTCGCCTCCACGTTTCATTTCAATATCTCTGCACGTTATTTTCAAATATTTAAATATTCCTCCTTCCCCAACCTGCTGCTGCTCATAGATATGAATCATTACTTGTTTGATTAAATCTTCTTAAACTGCAGTTGACATTGTGAAACATAAAAGCTGCTTCAAGACCAAACTCTGATGGTTGTTATTAACTTTTTATGAATCAAGTAATTTGGCTTTACGGACTAATTTTAATGACCGTCTGCACCTCTTTTCACCCTCTGTCTGAAACCAGAGCCCAGTCTGCTCTGATTGGTTAGCTGGCCGGCTCTGTTGTAATTGGTCACCCGCTTAGAGATGTCCCGCCCCTTATCCTATCACGTACAATGTGTTGGAGCGCTAGCCAATAGGAGCATGTGATGTCACTATGTTCCGGAACTTTGAGATTTTCAGCCATTTGCATGCACAAATATCACACACTACAGGAAAGGGAAAACTCCATTATGCTGCATTCACATGCTGTTCGTAAAACCCTTCCTCTCTTGCTTCATCTGCTGAGCTTTGTTTACATTCTCCTGGAACTCAGAGCAGGAAGATGGATGATAAACATTCGAGCTGCAGCTGTGCAGCGACATGCTTTCAGTCATGGTGGCAGTTTGCAGTCAGGCCACGCTCATTTATGTGGAACTGGAATAATATCTGGCCTATAAACAGACACTAGAATGTTAATGGACTTTGAAACTGTTATTTTGAACAAGCACTTGCTATATTCGTTAACTAGTAGGCCTATCTGGAATATGTTCAAGTGCATTAGCAAACTAGGATATGTAGCAGGTCAGGTCATGGTAACAAGTTAGCTAACATTGTTTAGCTAGGGTGGTTAAACTACTGGCATAATGCCAGTAGTTTAACCACCCTAGCTAAACAATAAGTTGTGTATGTATGTTGTATTTTGTCAGTCAGTGTGTGTTGAGTGTTGATTGCAAGCAGACTTGTTTTATTTCCCCATTTAATTTAAGTTGAAGAATCATGTCAATGCATCAGTCATTAGACCTGACAACATGAAGCTACGTTGCAGTCACGTGCTAACTTTTCGGTATTTTCAGAACAAAACGAGGTAAAATGGATTCATTTTGTACGCCTGGAAGTTCCGTTAACGTCCGCAATATCTAGTTAAATTTAATTTGTTTGAGGGTTTAGCAAGTGCGCTGTCGAGGAGCAGTATGGAAACTATAATACACGGTCAGTCTGAGGTACCCGTTTCTATTTTATCCTGATTTAACACCAGCCTCCCCTGTGTGTGTGTGTGTGTGTGTGTGTGTGTGTGTGTGTGTGTGTGTGTGTGTGTGTGTGTGTGTGTGTGTGTGTGTGTGTGTGTGTGTGTGTGTGTGTGTGTGTGTGTGGTGTGTGTGTGTGTGTGTGTGTGTGTGTGTGTGTGTGTGTGTGTGTGTGTGTGTGTGTGCTGAGAGGCAGTGGAGTCAGGCAGGCGGGCTCTCAGCGGTCAGTGGTGGGGGTTTCAGGGTCCTCACACTGATGGGAAAGATTCCAAATTAAATATTCTTGTTCTCATATCCACATTAGCTACAACACAGAAAGTCTTTAAGTCCCAGGCTCCTATTACAATGCAACATATTATATATATTTATATTGAAAAAAAAAGTATATCTGTATCTCATTCCTCATTTAAATGTGTTTGTCCTAATTGGTCATGAATTATTTTTTCCTTCCTCGTATTGTAATGGTTTTTCGAACCCTGGAGGCTTCAAATATACCCTGTATTTCATCAGGAAATGTTTCTTCCTCATCTCACCCTCAGATAATCTTGGGACTCTTTGGTGTGTGTCCAAATGTACTTTAGAGTAAATGTAACGAATGAAAGCACATTTAAACTATAAAAACGATATATATTACTGATGCAATACTTTACATTGCATTACATCACACTATATCGCACTGTATGCAACTTGATATTTCAAAATGAAATTATTTCTAAGATTGATATATTTATACATTTTTTTAAGGTTTTTAATTTAATTCTGAGTTTCGTTTTAAGTCTTATGTAATAAAATATGATTTATGCCCCAAAATAGGGTCTAACTTGAGTCAAAATGAATGTGTTTGATCTATATATTTAATCTAAATGTCCTCTCCTCTCTCTCCTCCAGGCCCAGAGGAAGGAGGTGTTCCTGCAGGAGCGATACGGTCACTACAGCCTGACGGACCCCTTCCTGGCTCTGCAGAGGGACTTTGAGTCAGGGGTCCCTGGAGGAGACGCTGAGCGGCGGCCCCTGGGCTCCAGCCCCATCTCCGTGCTGGAGGCCGTCATGGCGCACTGCAGGAAGATGCAGGAGCGCATGTCGGCTCAGCTGGCCGCCGCCGAGAGCCGCCAGAAGAGGGTAAGAGAGAGAGAGGTAGAGGAGAGGAAGAGGGTAAGAGAGAGAGGTAGAGGAGAGGAAGAGGGTAAGAGAGAGAGAGGTAGAGGAGAGGAAGAGGGTAAGAGAGAGAGAGGTAGAGGAGAGGAAGAGGGTAAGAGAGAGAGGTAGAGGAGAGGAAGTGGGTAAGAGAGAGAGAGAGTTAGAGGAGAGGAAGAGGGTAAGAGAGAGAGGTAGAGGAGAGGAAGAGGGTAAGAGAGAGAGAGGTAGAGGAGAGGAAGAGGGTAAGAGAGAGAGGTAGAGGAGAGGAAGAGGGTAAGAGAGAGAGGTAGAGGAGAGGAAGAGGGTAAGAGAGAGAGAGGTAGAGGAGAGGAAGAGGGTAAGAGAGAGAGAAGTAGAGGAGAGGAAGTGGGTAAGAGAGAGAGAGGTAGAGGAGAGGAATAACTAAGATACTATACGATAACACTTTAATGGTCAGGTCAAGTCTGAAATGTGACCTGCATCCCAGCAGCTCCATGTGTAACATCAACATGGACAAATATCAAGACGCAATGTTTGCGTTGCCGCATAAAAAGACAAGTCATTGTACATTAGAGAAATTAAAAGACTCGAAATAAACAAGTCGAGTCAACTTTATCGGTAATCTTTCAGTTTGTGTGTACAGACAGAGAGATCGAAATACCGTTTCCCACAACCCCGAATACAAATATATAAATATATGTATACAAATATGTATATACCTATATATACATTAGTGCAAGACTGTCCATAGCAGCGTAAAAAGTGTCTGGTGCTGGATTTGAGTGTCTGAGTGTGTTGGGTGTTAAAAATACCACTGCTAGAGTCAATGTGTGTGACTCCGGGTAATATTATGAATACAAACATCATTTGGTTGCCTGTTGACTGGGGGGGTTTCTTGTTTGAGTGCTGAGAGTGGGCACACACATTTCAGATTGAACAAAGTATCCAACAGTAAGTGTCTGTGGAGATTTTAATTTGTCTCTTATTTTACACATTTCACTTTTAGATTTCTGATGCAGAGTAGAGCAACACGTCTTCTTGCCTTTTTTCAGGCTAAATGGCGTCCTGCTTGTCGTCTTTATGTCTTCATAATGTGCCGCTTTCTGACAGGCAGGACTAAAGACTTTATGCATATAGTATTAAAGAGTTACACTTTGTATTTGCTCTGTTTCCAGATTGTGTGAATGACAGTATGACAGTTTTGTGATAAATGTTCTCATTAAAAATGTGATTTGGATTTTCTCACATTAGTACATTTACATAGCGTTTAAAAACAAAGCATGCAGTGTGGGAGAATGCATGTCTTTGAGATAGACTACAGAGTATTCATTTATTGAGGCGCATAAAGAGGCAGATGTTCTTCGATAGCTTCCAAACTCATCTATCATTTCCCGTCATCATTAATCCCTTCTTGGCTCGTATATCACTCATTAATCTCTGAGCGGGGGGGAACTCTGCATCAGTTCATAAAGGCTTCATGTTTGAGAGGGAAGGTCTACCTGCTGCTGCTGAGAGAGGAACGACACTCAAACAGGAATATATACTGTATTTAAACTGGGGGAATGTGGCTTTTGAGACAGTTTCTCTATTGTAGAATACAAATAAAATAAATGCAATAATCAGATGGGATAAAATAAAAATATTTTATATAAACATAAGAAGTTTAAGGAAGTGAAATATCCCAAAACAAATAAATACAATTAAATAAAAAAATATTCAAATAAATATAAGAAGTTAAAGTAAAAATGTGCAATGAAGTTAAATATATTATGTATTTTTAATGTATAAAGATAAGAATTTAGTAAAAAAGGGAAATAAATAGATATAATAAAATAAGAACATTTCTATAAAAATAGTTTAATATCAAAATAAAATAACATAAAATGAAACAAATATATATTCAAAGATAATCACTTAAACATAAAATGTCCAATAAAATATTTAATAAAATAAAAGTATTAATGCAAACATAAGAAGTTAAAGTAAGAATGTGCACATTGTACTTCACTATTTGTATTACAATATACTATAATAATTGACTTAGTTGAATACTCGATTCTGATTGGTCATTTCAGAACACGTGACACGTTGTTAATCCAGTACAGACAGACCGCTGTCAAGCACTTATTCACCGTTGTTTTCCCTGTTTCATGTGGGTTTTGCATCGCGTCGGGCTCCTGATCTGCCTGTCGGATGTTCTTTTCCCCATAATAGGCGCTAAGTACTTTTCCCAGGAATAGTTCCCGGAACTTTTCCCCAGAACTTTTACTTCCTGGAACTATCTAGTAAATCGCGTTCACACTGGTTCACACTGGTTCACACTGGTTCACACTGGTTCACACTGGTTCACACCGGAATAAGTCCCTGAGGGAAATGCTGACGTCACTTATTCTTCTTCTTCTGCTTTGGGTTTACTGGCAGGCCGCAAACCACTTCACGGCGTATACTGCCACCCGAAGTCCCCGGCCGGAAGTCCCCGGAGTTGGGGGCTGACTTCCGAGTAAATCGCCAGAACGCTGACACCTCCTCATCTCCACCGCTCCCATGTTTTATTTTGTGTTGTCATAAGTTATTCTCTCTCCGTTGGTGCACTGGGCTAATGCTAATGCTAATAATGCTAATGCGAGGATAATAAAATGGCGGCTTCATAAAAACTTTTCAGAGTTTTACGGGCCGTGGTTTGCAATTCGCCCAGCCAATCAGAAATTGGAACCTTTTTCTCCCCAGGAAAGTACCTGCTCTCTAGCAGGCACTAAAAAGGGGTGAAAAGGTTCGCAAAAAAAAGTTCTAGTTCCAGATATTTTTGGTGTGAACGCAAAATCCCAGGAACTATCGGAACTATTCCTGGGAAAAGTACTCCGGTGTGAAAGTGCCTATAATGACCGCCTCGCTCCACATTATCCCTTACTTAATACGTGTGTGTTGATCTGATAAATAAGCTACAGTTCATTGTCTGTGTATAGAAATATCTGACCAGCTTGTATGCTGATGGAAGAGGATGAGGTGCATCTTGCATCAGCCTGTGATCTCAGAGGAAAAACAAGTCTTCTTTATTTGTGTACCAGCACCAGTTAAAATTGCTTCACATAAGGGAGTCAATGCATCACAGTGACATTTAGAAAACACAGTGAAAAAAAGCTTTAGAAAGTTATTAGACGTTACATTATATCTGTTAGTCTGCCTCTGAAGCTGCTGCACAGCTCCATGACATTTATCTAAGCCGTGGGATCTAATTTAATCCGGTCCTCCCACTCAAAGATTGATTTGAGTTCACCCTGTAATGAGAGGGAACACTTCTATTCTCATTGGATTTACAAACAAAAGCCAAAGCAAGGGAAAAGTCTGTGAAAGAGGCATATTGAAAAGCTTGTTTCATTTTTATGAACATCGGTTTTTGATTCGAAAAGCATTAAAGTGACATTTTTGGGGCATTGCACACATTAAGCTGTTGGGAATTTGAGGCAAACATGGTAGGTGTTCTGTTTGTTTACTATCAGTGTAGGAATAGGCTTGTATGACGGGAGAACCAGACTCACATGTGTGTTGCCAGGGTTATTTAGCGCCATCAATACAGATATTATATTTTATGCTGATTTGTTTCTTGGTTGCAAGTCATACTAAGGTTGCACCGCTTGGATTTTTTTGAGAGGCTCATCTCCAAAAATATGATTATTTATTATTTCTCCAACATTTTTCATTCAGAATTATATTTTCACATAATTTCCCTTCATCAAATATTTGTTTACTGCAATTTTGGATATTGCACGAGTCCATATTGTGATCAATTATTATCATTTTTGTTGAATTTTCTTTTTTTATAATGATCTTTATACATTTTTGTAATATAATTGTATTTGTTTTATTACTAAGTTTATTATTCATTCATAAATATATATTTTCTCAATTTTTTTTATTATGATTATTGTGTCATTGCGTCTCCCCTATTTCTACACTCACCTTTAAATCCTAAAAATATAGGGGGGGGGGGGACTTTAAAAGTTCTAGATTTCCTCTGAAAATCTTGCTTTTTAAATTGCAACTCTTTCTCCATCATGACTTCAAACAGCAATCAGAAATAAAACAGCTTGAGACGAGAGTTTCCCTTCCTTTGACCCTGAATTGTGTGTAAAAGTAGAGCCAGCCTCCCCTCCTCAGCACAGCTGTACTTCACTGTAAACATCAGGAATACATGGATTTGTAGGAACCCATGATGCAACAGCAAACCAACTCATATGCCGCGTGCCCTCAGAGGGTCTCCGGGTTGCCGGGTAGAGTGAATTCAACCGGATTGTCCGTGCTATCTTTATCCCCTCCATCCATTCGCAGTCTCGCTCCTTGTTCTCCCGTGAGTAAGCTGTTGAATTATCCATGAGGCGAGCTGCAGGCAGTTATACGTAACACAAGCTCAATGGGCTTATGGGCATAATGAAGACACCCCCACTCCTCCGCTCCCCCATGAATCAGTCATGAAGTCGGAGGAAGCAGACACTGTATTTGTGAATTCTTTTGGGGGTAAACACACTGCCAAAATGTTTGAGGCTGTATTTCGATGTAAGGTCACGACCCCCGCTGCTGAAATAGCTTTTTCTTAAAATAGTCCCCAGGCTTCCTCCTTCTTTCAGCCCTGTTATGTAATGGTTGCGCTATTTCCTTTCTGTTAGTATACGCACATGTTTAAATATATTCAAATCTCAAACCTTATTATTACTTTACATTACATTGCATTTAGCTGACGCTTTTATCCAAAGCGACTTACAATAAGTACATTCGACCAGGAAGACACAACCTTGAAGAAAACAGAATCATATAAGTACATCAGGTTTCATAGAGCCAAACATTTCAAGTGCTACTCAACTGGCTTTAGGTAAGCCAGTCCTTTATTAGTATAAAAGTGCTTCGTTAATAGTTCTATCGCTCGAACAACTTATGAATATCTCTCTACGATATTGTCACAAAACATAGACATGGAGAACTGTCATCCTATTTAAGACAGAAGTAATACA